GATTTGCCGAGTTTGAGTTACTCAGACTATAGCTCAGACCAGCATTGACAATTTTTATGTACATGTACATCCTATGTGTTCAGCACAATCCAGAAACGAACTTGCGCATGCGTATTCATTATACTCCCTCCTGAGCTCATTATTCGATGATTTTAGTGTAATGGTTTTATTCAAAGGCAAATAAAACCAGAATTTGCGAAAGATTTATGATTATGCTGAACATAGGCATTGCACTGACTAAAGTCCCCTAAAACACTCACCGTGCATCTATGCCCCCTTAGACAAACCATGTCATTACAGGGTCATGGTATATCCAAAATGTTTGAAATTTGAATGTAAACCTACATGTATGGTTATTTACATGTCAACATACATGTAAGCTGATTATATGAAATATTTAAATTTCCTTTTTGCTTTGTGTGTATCCTGCTGGAGTGAAAGCTAGAGAAAAATCTGTTTTCCTTGCTAATTCAGAGCATTGGAATTCAACGTCACTGCAGTTACATGGATACATGTATATCAGAGATGCGGGTACCCACAATAAAGGTATTTATAACCAAGCAAGGAAATTAACAGCTTATGGCAAAAAGGCCTACTGTTGCACTGAGATACAGACAGACTACCTGTTCTGATTGCAATCATGAAGCAGTTTGAGTGTGTAAACGCCTTCAATAATGGACCTACATGTATAATAACAGGGGACAATAGGGTCCACGGTTGGAAAACGTGTACAAATCATATGGGAGGTCTTCTGAAAAAGTATGAACAAAAGAGGAACAATAGGGAGTCCACGATTGAAGGCGTTTACACACTTGGCTGTGTGTATGGGTACAGATGTGTGTGTGGGGGGTCCATGTACCGTCATCATAAATACTTCCTCCATCAACATTCAGGTCCCCACATACTTCCCATTTAGTTAGAATCCAAGGTTACTACATGTATGCCATTGAATACATGTACGTGTACACATGTATAGTACACTATATTATTGTGTCCAAGTTCAGATATCAGTTTTCCATGCATCAACACATGAACAGGTGCACCTGTAATAAACGTTTTCTTTTTGCGATGATACAGATATTCCTCAGCACACGAGAGGAGTTTTCATTCATGTTAGATATCCCTGGTTTCAAAGATGCCTGCAGACAAAGCAAAAGGACTAAGCCACAGAACAGTGAGAAGAGCTGCATCAAAGTACTCTTAAAAAACTGCAATCAACAGGAAGTTGATTTACTTGTATGTGTACATGCAACTGCTATAATTTATTGAAAGACAACTGCAAACAAATTTTCAAACTGGTTTGGAAGAATAGTGTAGAGTTTTTTTTTCAGCATTCATAAGATCCCAATATTTTCAATTGATCCCCATGTCATTTGAAGTGTCTGGAAATCTTCAGGACAGAAAAGAAGTCAGGAGTTTTTATACGACACACTTAAGAAAAAATGCCCTAAGACATGAAGGCAGTTTGCTTCACATTTTCAAAACAAAATGTGCGTATTTCATTGTTATTACCCAAACACAAAAGCATATTACTGGTTCACAGTGTTTGACTATTTACATGTTCATGTACATGTAAGCTGTTCAATTTCTTTTGCTTCTGTATATAAAGTACCCTTCATGCTGCTGCTGAAGTGAAACCTAGAGGTAAATCTGTTGTCTATGTATGTTACCGGTAGTTCAGAGCATTGGAATTCAACATAACTGCAGTTACATACATGTACATGTCAGAGGTTGGGTATCCACAATACAGGAAGTTGCTATACAACGAAACAATGATATTAACAGGTAATGGTGTAAAGGCCTAAGGTTGCATTGACACATGTTGACATATTGCAAGTTCTGATTAACGCAGTCGTGAAGCAAAGTTGGTGTGTGGGTGTACATGTATGTGAGTTTGGTTTTGCATTCAATTGGGGACCCTGAACAACAGAGGACAATACGGTCCCCCATTCACAGGGTCCCTGATTGACAACTGGGTACAAAACATATTGGTGGTCTTCTAAAAAGTTGTAGTACAAACAAAAGAGGAACACTTGGGGGTCCCCAGTTGCTTGCAAATATTGTATTCAATGAAACTGTAATATTATCATGTCAAATCTATTTTGTAAACATTCTTCTTTTATAATACGATTTGACTAAAACAGCCAACTCCAAAAAAGCTTGTCTTTGTTCACAAACACCTAGCTGTTTCAGCTAGAGTCAGAACAGCTTTTGTTTCCGTTAAACTTTTTTTTTCCTTTTTTTTTTCTTTTTGGCTTTTTGGCAAGTTGCGAAAGAGGCATTCTTTTTGTTGTTTTTTTTTCTTCTTCATCTTCTTCTGACACAAATCCCCTTTGTTTTGTACACGTTTCTTCCACCACCCACTTTAGTCCCTTAGCAACTTTGGATCTTCATCAAACTTACATCACTGAAGGACCCTTACCTAAAGATGTGCATAGAACAATGACGCCATGATGACGCCATCAAGTGATTTATTATTGATTTGTTTCTATTTATTTCATCCCATTGACTTTGTACACGTTTTCATGACACTATTTTAGTAATTTGGCGATCTCTAATTGTAACCAAAGTTACAACCGACAAAGACCCTGATATAAAGATACGTCCAAATTTAAGACGTCATAATGACGTCATCAAGTGATTAATTATTTATTTTTCAATATTTATTTCAGCCCACTGACTTTGTACACGTTTTCGAGGCACTATTTTCGTACCTTAATAATCTTTGATCGTCGTCAAACTTACAGCAAGCACTAACTATAAAACGAAGATAATTCTGAAATATGTACGTCATGATGACGTCATTACGTGATTTATTATTAAATTTTTAAAATTTAAATATTCCTTTAAATATTTAAAAATCGATATAAAATCAACTGTGGCCTCCCGCAACATTCTGTTTGCAGCAAGTGCCAGGATAAAATGTGGTCTTGAATTTATTTTGTGTAGGTCAAATAACGAGACCCTTCCTTCCGGTTGAAGCCGGAAGTAGGCTTATTGTTTAAAAGTATATCTCCTAATGTCCAAAAGGGAGGAATTCAAATGTGGTAGTATCTCAAATGAAGGAATGTCCTTTTCTTAAGAAAAAAAGAAAATGCGAAAAAGCTCTTTGCTCTGTCCTTAAGACAGACAAAACCTCCAGTTTTTCTTCTGACCCAAATCCCCTTTGTTTTGTACACGTTTCTTCCACCACCCACTTTAGTCCCTTAGCAACTTGGGATCTTCATCAAACTTACATCATTGAAGGACCCTTGTCTAAAGATGTGCATAGAGCAATGACATCATGATGATGTTATCAAGTGATTTACATGTATTATTGATTTTTTTCTATTTATTTGAGCCCATTGACTTTGTACACGTTTTCATGACATTTCATTTTGGTAATTTGGCGATCTTCAATTGTATGCAAAGTTACAGCCAACAAAGACCATGACGCAAAGATACGTCCAAATTTGTGAGTTCACATGACGTGTGGCTTCGTCTTGCTTGCAGCCGCTTTAGCTTTTTTAGCTTAGATTTCACACAGGGCCCTCTTTTTCTGTCCGTGTCAAAATTATTGAAATCTGTATTTTACAGTGATAAAAACATAGGGTCGTACATGTATTTTCATCAATTTTTGTACAAAAAATGCCAAAATTCGTACTAATTGGCAGGTATGAATAACCAGCAACACATCATCAACACATGACAGTCATGTCAACGCACAGTTAACACCTCCAAAATGCAGTAGAATTCAGCTGAAGAGCTGAAGGCACAGAACTGTAGCATATGGGCTAAACACTGTTTTCAGTGAATTAAGGTTTTACCACTTGCTGGTCCGGGATAATTATCATTTTTTTCTGTTTTCAAAATTCTTTAAAAATTCTTATCTTCATTTACTGGACATTTACAAACACGTGAAGGACTGTCTGGTGGCCCCTCTAGCCTGACAGGCAAAATCTATTAACGCCTGGGTATTTCAGCCAGGCCTGCAGCCTTGTAAAAAGAACCCAGATTTTGCAGTGTTAATACATCTTTATTTTGTTCACGAGCCTAGCTCAATGCGCTGCTGACCTCTTTTCAATAGGGGCAAGATTAGCATGCAGCGGTGCTGTGTGGCTCATCGCTGTGGTGGTGGAGCGCTTTTGTTCCCTGGTGGTAATTCGCTCGCTCTACATGCCCCAAACCGTGGTATACTGTTTCAAATTAAGGCTGGATTATCTCCACTTTTTGATAAAGAAAAAATATCAGTAATGCCCAGCAGTCTGGTCTTTGTTCCAAGTATTGTCTTTTCTTATAAGGCCCTGTTCCCTTTGTCCGAGTTGGGTGACCTTGGCCACGCACATAAAGCGATCCACGCACATAAGGGATCCGGAATCCCCGCAGGAAGTGGTTAATGGAATTTTTTCACACAAAAAAATTTATCTCTAAGTAGAGTAACCATTGACCACAATTTTGCCTTTTGATGGAACTCGGATTGTATCATTTAGGTACATGATGCAAATACATTCATCACAAAAATATTAATAAAATAAAGCTATGGGCATGTGTTGGTTTATATTTACCCTATAGTTCAATGGTATTGTCTGAGTAGACCTTGAGGCCACATGGCAGCTGACTTCGTGGCCGTTCTTCCGAGGCAATTTTTATAAACTAAAAATGGAAATTTCAAAGGTCTAACCTTTTATAGTTTGGCCATACCGGTCCTGGTAATATTTTAGTGTTTTAAGGGTGTTAACAGAATGTTAACGGTGTAGTAACTTGGAATTTTTTAGCAGCAATTGTATGCTACTTACCTAGCCCAAGTTGGACGCCAGTCTTCATTTCATTACGACCAAAGTCTAGGTTTTAAGACTTATGTACAAAACAATCACAGATTTGGTTCTAATTTGTTCTTGGTTTACACCTTGTTGAAGAAACTAACTTCATGTTTACAAGTTCTTCATGGCCTTACCTATCCGTCTGGGGGATTAGAAATTTCAGAGCAAACCCTGGACTGCAAAATTGAGGACGTTACTTACTTTTGTAAGTGTAATTCATTGAGTTGCAAAGTGCACGCACGTACAGGTATCTGAGCTGTGTCCACACACTATGCGAGCACGATTTCCATTGAAGGTCTGTTGCACGCCTGCTGTACGGAGGCCGTGACTGGTACCCGGCTTGAACCTACGTGCCGATATAAAAAAATACAGTTCCATTTTTGTTGGATCAGGGACTTCAGACTGACCAGTGATCCCCTATTGGTTACCCCTAAAATGTTCATATTTTGTTCTGCTTTATATTTCCGTTTGTAAACATAAATTTGCAACACAACCTGCTGTTTTATGTGAATAACCTCTGTCAGCGTAGCCAGCCTTATTGCAGGGTTCTTGTATGGGAATAAGTTCATCGACGACCTCTCTTTGAAGTGTTTTTAAAACATGTTTAATTTGTTCCTAGAATTTTATTTGTTAAAGCAAGATGTACATGTATAAATACATAATATTGAAGAGATGATTTTTATTAAAATAAAACAGTAACTTATTTTGATAATTGAGGAATTAAAAGAGGATTACATTGTGGGCATGATGATCGTGATGAACAGGCGAGAGCGATGCTATACTGATCGGGAACACAGTATGCAGAGGCACTGCTGGTGCCAGCACGTGTGGTAAGTAGCAATCACGCACAAATCGTGCTGTTGATCGGCCGTTCCTTTTTTATTCGTAAACCAAACATATACCAGGTAATAAGCGTACCGTAGGCCTACATTTGTACATCAAACAGCTGAAAACTCAAGTTCATGTGTAGGCCTACTATGTACATGTAGTTGTTTGGAGTCCTCTGTAATCATAAGTGCCTTCTGCTTTTCACCAGTGAAGAAATGTCGCTGACCGTTTTTTGTCATTGGCTTAAAAAAAATGAGTGTGTTGAACTTTATACATCAGACGGCTGTTCCATGTCAAGAACTCTACCGAAAAATAAACTGACCTGCACAATCGCTGTGTCTGCGAGACTTCAGCTGTATATCAGATCCGTGTTGACATGGAACAGCCGTTTGCGGGCCGGGGTCAAGTGACGTATAAAGTTCAAGAGACTCCTTTTAATTTAAAGATGGCATGTGAGAGTGTGACCGTGAGTTTTAATGGGTAAAGGCTAAAAGACTGGAAAATACCAGAATAATGTGAGTGAAATCATTCAGTGAAATGGTCATTAGAAAGCGGAAAGGCTAAGGATCATTTGTGTGTGCAAAAAAAATTGCGCTTACGATTATAAGAGGGTGCGCTGAAGATTTCACCTCACCGACACAAAATTGCGTAAACAGATGTGTGGCTAAGGATGGAGCGGCAGCGAGGGTCCGTGCCACACTAGTGGGGCTAGCTAAATGGGCAGCTTTTAAAATGCTGTAGCATGCGGAACCATGAAAAGGATTGCTTCAGTGAGATCTACGGAGTTGTTGTACTTTACCGTTTGGGAAGTAGCTACCTGTACATGCTGACATGTACATGATGATACCCCCCGACGTCTGCCCGGCTCCCACATCCGCGGGGCGGACGTCGGACCCCACGGTAACAGTTCTGGGGATGTATCAGCTACCTTGATGATGGAAGCAAACCTCATCATCATGATCATGAGCCATGATAATGGTGCTCGAAA